GATTTGGCGTCGCTTAAAGGTCATATCTTTTAAGTAACCATTTGCGAACACACATCATCATTCATGATCTCATGTTTACTAGCCTCTTGATTCAATCATCAACTTAATTGCCGTCTCATCAGTTCATTATAATAGTTTTAACTGTAGGCAAAGTTATTTGGAAGCTAATTGTTGGATATTCACAATTTAGTATTTTCCAATGCCGTAACCATTATTAAGTTGCCTAATCAGAACAATTTTTATCGACTTTTACATAATTTTCTATCCCTAAGACTTTGTCTGTATCTTGGAGCCGTTTAACTCCTTAGACTTATTTATTTGCCTGTCCCTTACTGTTCCTCATCTTATTGTTAAAAGCTTTTATTCAAATCAGGTAACGTCTATCTGTATGCAAAGTAGAAAGATCACTATGTAGTAGAAAACGTCAATTTAATACTTCTCACCAAATGACATTAATGTTTTGTTATAAGTGATGATCGAGAGAGATTTAGTAGTAATTTGTTCAATAAATATAATGAATACTCTTGGATTCGCAAATAAGTTAACTGAATCCAAAATATCACCTTGTACAACCGATATAAATACCGACTGACAACACTTCAGCAGTAATGCGCTTTAGTGGATAGATTCAGGGTTAGTTCAGACGTACCAAGATTTCTTAAAAGAATCTTCTTGGGGTCAAACGTATTTACCAACAAAGGTTAACGCCCCACATCTGTTTTTTCTTAAGCTGGTTATGAGCCATACTCCAAATATAGAAGCTAGTGATACTACTCTGGTTGCCCAAAAACAAGTATGTGGAACGGGGTTCAAACCTGGAGATTGGTGGCTGAAGTTGAACGCCTTAATCATTAAGCCACTGATCCACTCTTCTGTAGCACATATGAATAAGTTATTTCTTTGTTAAATGGTTTATTTCCTATTTTTCATGTTTTATTGTTTCTTTAGGTTAAGAAAGAAAATGAATGGTGTGAAGAAAAATAACCCAGAAGACTAAATTTTTTTATCTTAAAATTTCACACTTGACTTTCACCACAGACACTTCTACGCATATCTTTCCTGGTAAAACAAACTGTAGTTACTTTATCATTGAAGTTTTGATGTATGTGTACAAGAAATAACTTTCCTTTGTTTCTCCGCTGAAATCCTTGTAAATCACTATTCGGAACTTGTTCCTTTTTTTCTCATCTTAATATCTGTTCACTTGTTTGTCCATTTAGATTTTTTTTGTCATTCGTTCGAACGCGTGCTATATCATTATTCGTTTTAAATAAAACCTTTTCCCCCTTATATCCTGTGAATAAATCCAACGTACATATATACATAAAATGTATATTTAAAATCGAAAAAGAATTTGCCTAGTTAAAAAACAAGTGAAGTTTGTAGTTTTACAGATCGTTGTGTTTTTTGTTCAAGTTTTTATTGGCAACTTAATCTATAAACTTATCGGCTTACCAAAATTACGATAGTAAACTGGCACGTCTTGCATATCACACACTAACTAAATGATTAAAACACTTATCCTTCAAATGGACTGGGTTTCAATCCCTTTCTCCACCTACTTCGGTTTGAGGATCCGTATATTATTATGTATGACTAATGATTACCTATATCGATACCCGATGTTTGGTAGTATTGGAGTAGGTTGAATGAGAGTTAGGTATCAATTTATGACGTGGCTCGAAATCGGTCACGGTGGCGTAAATGCATCCAATCTTACAGACATTGAATTCCAGTATTTCTTCACACATCTTTTCATCCCATCTTTTGAAACTACACTCCCAATATTTAATCTTCCTCATTATATATATATATATATATATATATATATATATATATATATATATATATATATATATATATATATTGTTAATTTCATCTCATCGTGCTAAAATGGTATAAGAACTTTATTTAAAGCACATTTGTACTAAACCCCGCGTTCATTATGCCTGTCTGTATTGCCCGAAGCCAACTACATGAGATCATATCATAAAATAAAAGTACCATTGTCTTTAAGAGATTGAATGGAAATCAGTCAGTTATGTGCAACATAGAATATGACACGTGCGTCGTCCTAAGTTGCCACACCACATCCGCATGGCGAGACAAATCCTAGAGTAATAGTAGTAGTAACATTATTAGTGATAGTAAGAAATGTTAGGTGAAAACAAAAGGAGACAAGGAGATTTCTGTTTTCAAGAACACGTCAATGGACTGAGGGATTGTATGTTTATTATAAGTTACAAAGCATTTACATAATACATAGCCTTCAATCATCCATCGGTGTGTTCTGAAGTCTAAACGGATTTCTCTTCTGATCTTCCGTGCTTTCGATGTACTAAAACTCTTCATTCCGCCTAACACATTTTGCAACTTCGACGCTACGTCCCACCATACACTACTTACAAAAAATCTTGCGAGTAGCGTCCACTACAAGGGAAGAGTAAGTGCATCTTAGCCATTGCAAACGATTGTGAGCTATGTCATCCAAAGTCTAACGATAGGCTACGATGATCATACGGACCATCAACCAGATACCATGTACTTACATGGCTCGATCCGACAGTTAGTGACTTCATGAACTAACGCCAGGTCTTAGTTTAACCACACCTAGCTTTGTAGTGTACTCCTACACTAACAAGCATCGCCTGTTGAGGTAGGCGGCCGTTAAGTACTTGTTTTACATGTCCCAACCGCCTCAGTCGATTTGCCATCTGTACTTGGTACCCTATTCCTAAGAGTTGTTCACTCAGTGGTTCTAAAGTACATGAGCAATGGTTCTGAGGCATATATCGTGTAACACAGCCTGGAAATTACCCTCTACTCTTAATGACCACACTTCAAACTCAAAGCAGGACAAGGAGAGTCGCTATACAGTAAACTCGTCCTTTGGTTGGCAGACCGACATCCTATCTGTGCCACAGATGACGCGGGTTTATTAAAACCAAACGAGCTTTCTGAATTTTTGCGATAAGTGGAGTGGTTGACACGCTCGCTTCGCTCCCTATCATCAGTTTAGAAGTTGATTTAGACCAGTCCTAAAAATACAGAAGGAACAACTTGGATTTTATCTGTCTGATTTTAATAGTTGGACACGTGGAAAGATAACGCATAGTTTCCCGTAGTACTTTTATTTCTGCGACCCATAATTTACAGTAGAAGGGGAAATGTTTTCCCAAGCTCTTAAAAGTATAATCCACTGCTGTAGTATCTAATAAATAAACACATGTTACTGAGTCAGTTCTACTAGCACGTTACCCAGCTGGGACTGATTGATTTGCTGGTGTTCAGAAATAATAGATCTTTTTCTCAGGTGTCACTGTTAACTCCTAACATGAATATGGATATATATGAAGTTATATTTCAAGAACCTAAAAGAGGGGGGACCCACAAATATCCCCTCCAGGGGACCATTTGGTCATTATGGGTCTCTAATTGCAGCACCTATAGGTTCACTTCAACTGAATGCTATCAGATAAGAATGTGTAGTGATAATTAGATAAGCATGGAGAGGGGGCCTTTTTGTCATATACGTAGTCTTAGTTGGCTGTCCTATGAGCTTTGACGTTTATTTTATCAAACATGAGGTAAGAGCTAAGTTGTTGCTCAGTGTTTAGCTTTCCGTACCATTAATTGTGTTTTTATCTCTTGAACACCGAACATATCGTTATGTTTTCCGATCCGACAGAAACCTCATCAAGTGGTGTTGGATTGTACTTCTTCTGAACGTTGGTATGCATCATCTTTCCTGGAACTAAAAGCGTATTTCAAATGAACCTGGTCTAAAAAAACAACGCAATCGCACACGCTTAGATCTACGTGTTTGGCTGAGACTAAGAATAGTGAAAAAAACATTGGATAAAAATTCACTATCTGGATCCGTACATTTTAGTTACTGCTTTAGTTGATGAAACTTTTCATTGTTTATATCATCGTGTCGTTTATATTTGGACGCACCCATTGATTGAACATAGCAGCTATAAAGATACTTTAGAGTAGTGACTTAGTAGTTACGACAGTCGACTTTCAATCACTAAGTCACAAGTTCGAGTCTCGTTCTACCTACTCCAATTTGAACAGCTGAAAAGTATCACCAGCATTCCAACAAACTGTGGCTCAAAGCCGAATACACGAAACTGAACTTTGCATATTAGTACCATAGTCAGAGTAAAATGATATTGACTAATTATTATGTTTTTGTTTTGAATTGCAAAAAAATGTTATTTCCACTTTAATAGTTACATGACGGATAACTATATCGTTTTAAAACATGAAGTACAAAACAATGAACAGTATTTGATCAACCTGTTTTCAACACTTAACAAAGTTTCTAATCCACAAGAATTATAGTCTAGCATTTGAATAAAAAGACAAGATTCTCTATAACAATTTGTTAATTGTGGATGCTTCTTACTATAACTTCGAGAAATTCCTTACGAAGCCAGTCACTAGTGAGCACATAGTAGTTATCAGTATGGAGTTGTGGAGATTGTTAAGTATTTGATTAAGATAATGAATCGACGAAATGTTGGTCCAGTGCTTCCAGGTTTTCAATGCTAGTCTAACATTGATCGATTCATGATTTCAATCAAATTTGTTGATTGTGAATGTATCTAAAAGACTTCACAACTAAAGAAACCCCCAAGCTTATCCTATTATACATCTTGAAAGTAGTGGAAGTTTATATCGATTTAAAAATGTGTTTCAACACATTCAACTCCCCCCTCCGTAAATAATCAAAAATACATTCATCTTGAATTAGTTTATGCAAAGTGTAAAACGCAAACAAAGTTACTTTCAAAGAATATGAAGGCTATAAAGACAATAATAATCGTGTATCATACAAATGAAAATGAGAAATATCTATGTTAAATACAAGAGGGAATGAATAAAATTTCTACATATGAAACAGGAGGACAGAAAGCTTAGGTAGTGTGAATAAAAAAATAAATATATGAGTAGGATAGTTATTTACTCTTCTTTTTTTACGCTTTTATTTCTCATAATTCACTTAAATACTTTGTTAAATGTTCAATTTGACATTGTAGAACTTGACAGTGATTATTGAATGCTTGACATGATGGTTGTGGTGATGATGAATTGTTTGCTTCATTGATAGTTTGTTTTGTTGTTAAAAAATTATCCTGTTGTTGTTGCTGCTTTTTTATGTTCGACAGTAATAAAGATTCTGGAGAAAAGTTTTCATGATAATGATCATTAGTTTCTGGGATGTTTTGTTCTGTCAGTCGATTGTTGTTACTACCACTATTCTTTTGTTTCGTTTTCTTGACATGTTGACTGTTAGTTAATTTTAAGTCAGATTTATTTTCACGTTTAGTTTGTGATTTTCTAGCTAATGTATCACATAATTTGGTTAAATTGTTTGAAATTGAATTTAAGGGACCTTGTAGATTAGAATATAATGGATTTGTTGTAAAATAATCAGAAGAACTGATCAATAATTTTAGGATAGGATGAATTCTACAAATATCTCGAAGAATAGCTTGAATACCGAATATAGATAATACATCTAGAAACAAGAAAAATGGTAGAATAAAATATGGATTTTCGATAAAGGATATGTAAATATTTTAAACTGGAAATTTGCTATATTGGGACTATTCTTGAGTGATTGATTAGAGATATCCAGGAGATAAAAAATGGAAGAAACTTATCTGTCTGTCTGTTTTTTGTTGTTGTAAAACTGGCTAATATAGAAAATTAAAGTGTCTGAGGAATTAATCCACCATCATAGAATGAATCTCAAGAATTAGAAAATGGATGATCCTTCTAAATGTGAAAAACACCTTAGGAATCACCACAAGGATTTGGAAACCCTTTAAAATCAATATCGATCATGAAGCAACACAATCACTCCGCTCTATTTTATATAGACCATAAGATACAACAGTGACAGAAGAAAGATTCAGTACTGTCTACAAAATAAATTACATCGACTGTGATAAATACTAAGTTAGACAAGGCGGATCCCCTCTTTCTATCCACACATGAACACAAACTATCAGTGGAAGGACAATATGCTATCACTGATATCAATACATGTAGACAACTACAAAGATGGATTGGACTAGAAGAACGTTGGAATTCTGGATAGTGAGAGTCCCAAGCATGTCACAGAATTTCTGGAAGCATAGCATTCAAGTCAATTAGCAATCAGTGGACAAATCAATTTGGACCTGCTCTACTAATCCATTTGGAAAAGATGAATTGATAACTTGGTCAAAATCAACTTTTACAGAAAGGCAGTTGAATACAATGAAATCTACGAGAATAACTACTAACACACAATCAAGACCACCGGGACAAATTGTTTTACGACTGGTTGAATAATTTAAAAAGCTCACTTCTATATGAAGTAAAAGCTGATGATGTTGTCCAGAACAACAATAAATGCTGTGCAACTAAATTATCTAGCTTAGAAAACTCAACATCACCAAACGTTACAACAATCTCAATGAATATATTATTGGCCTACAACACTAATTTGACCACTGTACAATAAAATAGATCAGATTAAAAACCAAGAAACATATTAGACTTCAAACAGAACTAAATACTTGGATGAGCTAACATAATCTGGTTAGAAAACGGATTTTATTATTCAATAACGGATGTCTAAAACAACATAAATTAACAAAGGTGAACTGTTAAATAAGTTTCGGTATCACAATTGATTGATCACTGGGTGGCGATCAATGTCATGCGTGTCTAGTCCTTATTAGTGCAGATCGAATGCTATCGATCATGTTGCAATGTGGCCACCAGTCTAGGTGACTCGACACTGCGGGCACAATATGTTCTTCTTAGCCATTGTATGGAAAGTAGAATACTAGTTACTACTAATCCCGAAAATATATCATACAAAATTGACTAATCAATATGAATTAGTTTAGATTAAAAACAGAACTTCATTACAAATTAATATGTAGAAATTATTCATCCTATTATAAACTACCTACCTTTAAAAAAGCAAATAAATAAATATGGGTAAAACTTACCTTGATTTACTGTCTGCAAACTGACAAGATGACTTAACAAAGTCACATGTAAAATCACATCTTGTAAATCAATGTTCAAGTGTTTATCTTCCCCCTTAGAAGCGATAATATTAGTATTACTAGCTAAATAAGAAGCATGCCAATCTAATGTAGTTCTAGCTTGTGTAATCATTGTAAACCAAGCAGGAGTTTGTGATTTGCCACGTTTAAATGTTACACCATGATGATGTCGTAAAAGCATAACGTTTAACTGGTGTAAACGTAAATTAACAAAAATTCGCAAAATGTCTTTATTGGCAGCTGTGTTGTTGTTGGTGCTATCATTTTCTGTAGTCCTGAGTGAACTAGTAGTTGACGATGATGTAATTGAATAAGGAGTGAGATCCGATGGGAGATAACGTAAAACTTGTTTTAATACATTATTAATTATGTCTAAGTATTCCAATTTATCACCCTGTTAGGAGAAACAAAGAAGAGCGTAAGGGTGATATTGAAAGCTGAGTAAATATACTTGTAATACGTGAGGTAGAATCGAGCAATATATACATATTTACTAAGATTTTAATTCGTATTCGTCAAATCAATCTCAGTTGAGATACTATAGAAAACTAGGGAACTGTATTGGTCTAGTATAGTAATCCGTAGTAGTGTGCATCCACAACCTCTCCAAAAATCAACCCCAAAACCTTCAGCTCCCAAACTAGGAGGAAACAACTGTCTAGTGCTCCCTGATTTTCTGGGATACCCCAACTAAGATCAGTTTGTGATAAATATGACTCGTAGGCATACAATTCTTCATAAGCTTTTAATTTCAAATACATATAAATAGATCCAGAGGTTCGAAAATGAGCTCTTTGGAAAAGGATTCCTTTGGTGAACTAATCGTTTTATATATTCTTTAAAAATAGTTTTTTAAGGTCTCTCTCTGGTTGTGCTGATACATAATGTAGAAACCTTGGTTACATGACAAGGGAAAAAATACTGATAGTATTAATAAAAATTTCCACAAAATTAGTAGTAGTAATGTGGTGTATGCCATTTATGCTAGCATATACAAGTAGTATGTGGCCACAATCGGAAGTGGAATGTCTGTTAGCAGAAGATTGAATTGAAGAGAACAGTAAATAATTGTAGTAATAATAATAACAGAATGGAAAGAATCATGAAGTATGTAAAAGACAACGCAAAGAAGATATGCAAATGACGTATTTAATGCATGATTTTCATATTTTACTAAGCCATTGTGTAATTTCGCATCAAACAATAAATTAGTTTTCCCCCATCTGAAATCTCGTTCACTACAGTAATAATAGTTTAAAAATTCCCATTAATAATTCGAAATAAAAAGTAAGATTCATCTTTAACTAAGGAAATACAGTCAAATCATGTACACTTATGAAACAATGGTTTACAATTATTAACTTGTACTACTCACAGCATAAGGATATCTGATCGCCCATCAAGATTAAAAATTATGGGCAGACAAACAGAGATGGAAATGCTTCACATGATTGTTCTCCGATGACTTCTCTACACGCTTTACATGTAATAATAGATAGAATGTATATAACTAATGTCAAGGTTAGGAGACAGGATTTAATATTTTAGAAATTATACCAAACTATGGATCTGTTTAGTGAGATGAAGAGATGATGCTATCATTGTGTAAAATATTTCACGAAGATGAAACTAAATTATTAGACGAGAAAAGTATACTAAAAACTACTGCACAACATTTCCAAGATTAATAAGAAACGAATTGAGTATAAAAAATATTTTTAACATCTGTTTTTGTTTCATTGTTACATCGGCATAAACAATGAGTTGATCGAGATAATTATCTATACTTGTTTATGAACTTGGAGTGGGAGAAGCTATACAAATTGTGGTATAGACACAGAATAATAAAAACTGAATCATGACAACTTGGAAAGAAGGATACTTTTTAGACAGATTCCATATATATATATATATATATATATATATATATATATATATATATATATATATATATATATAGTTAGTCAGTTTTTAAGAAAACATTGTCTACACTTCCGGCTTCAGTTTGATAATATGTGTAAGATTATTTTCGATTATAAGATAGTTTCTATTGTAAACTGACATTATCCAGGAAGTTATTAATCCCTTAGTCAAAAGTAAAATAGAACCTGGTAGATATATGCACCAATCCAAGTTACTAGGCCACATTAACACAGAGAGATGAATAGCAATGTGGCAGAAGCAGCAGCAGTATTAGTGATATTGGACAAAAAACTAGGTATAGAGAATATGATTCGACAAGAAAGAATGGATTTGAGGAATAGTTCTATCATATATATATAGAAAATACTGTTGGAAACCTTGTAGTGGTCGGTATTCAATATAATCCTTAAACTTCGTATACAGTTCGTCTTGATAACTGTCACTAGATAACGCCCCAACGGTATATTAATAAGGCGAATACGAAGTGTTGATTACGTTTATTATGGGACCACACACAGATATCCAAAATTACAGGTGCGTAAAACAAGCATAAAAGAGCTGTGCCTAGAGGCAAGCAGGCAAGCGAGTGAGTCAGCGAATATGAGTACGAGTAAGCGAAGAGAGCAATGAACATGAATAACATGGACATATATATACATAGTGAAATGAATGAATCATCGAATCAATTAAGCGGTTAGTAGTAGTAAGGCTAGCAGCGTGAATGAATGCGTAGGCAGTAAGCACTGCTCAAGTATACATGTTCATACGTTCACAACAATAATAAAGATACAATGATATAGATAAGTTGTTGTTGTACGGATGACTCAGTTCGTTAATAAGCAAACAAAATGACTTAACCGAATTAAATGTGAACAAACTTGATTGCACGTGAGTTGCTATAACCTGGAAGCATTGAACGACCGTTTCGTCATAGTATGGGATGCATCCGTGGTCCCGCTTGCAGGAATCAAACACAAAATGAACTCATAGTCTCTAGATCACTGAGCCGACATCTCATTAACACCATTGGATTTCAGCTCAGTGATCTAAAGATTAAGCGTTCGTGCACGAGATCGAAGTTCCCGGATTCGAGTCTCGCGAACGGGACCGTGAATACGCACTGTTGAAGAATCTCATACTAGGACGAAACGGCCGTCTAATGCTTCCAGGTTTTCAAAGGTATTCTAGCTTAGATCAACTTTTGAATTCAACTGTTAAAATACAAGTATATTTCAATGGTTGAGATCATGAATCAATTAAAGCTAGACCATCATGGAAAATCTGGAAGCACTAGACGGCTATTTCATCCTATTGTGGAACTCTTTAGTAATATTTACCAATAAAAATGTAATTGTATCATATAAAATAAATGTAACATAGAAAAAAATTACCTGAATAGTTTTGAATTCTTCTAAACAAATTGATAAATATTCATTAGTTGTAAGTAATAAATCTAAACATATTTGTATGGATGGCATTTCATTATGATTTATACATAATTGATAATGTAATAATGTTTCAATAGATCGAGCTAAACAAACTGTAGTTAATGAAAATTGAAATTTTTTATAATTTTGCATATTATTTAAAATGGATGTTTTAGAATAATATTGTTGATTAAAATATAATGTTTCATTAGGTAACAGATGATCTTCATTAGATCGCCATTTTTTCAATGAACTTAATTTATTCGCCCAAGGTAACAATGGTGTTGAAGATGATGATGATGATGATGATGACTGAGAACATAATGCCAATAGTTTGTATAATTGAAATTCATTTGTATCAATCAACTGATATGATATCATACTTATACTACTATATTATTATTATTATTATTTGTTACATCAACAATATCAGTAGATGTAGTATTAGTACTACATGAAGAATCAAATGGATTACATAATAGAATATTTAGATATTGATCTAAGAATTTATTGAAGTTTAAATGAATGATCTGATCCTATATTTTGTTTGTAATTGTGAATAGATAGACAAAAGTAGAGCAGGAGAAAAAAAGAAAAGGATAGAGAATAAAAATGATAAATAAAAAATATTTTATAGGAAAGATTTCAAAATGAATAACATGAAAAAGGCCTATTCCTTTGGATTACTTTAATAGATCTATTGCATGTAACAAAGAATGATTTTGGTCGATTTGAATGTAAATGTATATGTCAAGTTATTTAAGACTGTATATAATTCAGTCGCAATGTAGAATCTAGTCCGTATATACATCGGTCCAAGTTGGCATATCCCATTAGCACAGATATGAAATTGTTATGTTAAATACCAGAGTAGAAGAGGCAGTCATAGTATCAGTGTCCTACTCATTCCTATTCAATGTCTTCTCATGGCAGGGGTGGTGTTTACGAAATTCAGAAAATGAAGAACAAATGTCTGGCACTTAAACCGAGTTGGTGGGTACGGTGGATATACCTGGGAAAGTTGGAAAACTGTGATTCCGAATTAGTAGCACAAATAAGCTCCAGGATCCTGAGGAACGAGTAGTGTATGAACCTACTGTTGATCACCGGCTACCACGGGACTGAATATTCTAACGTTGCTCCACTGTCTTGTGGATTAGATCTGTAGGTCAAAGGCTCGGGGAGTGATTCCCTAAGAAAACTACTTACTCCGGTTTGGGTGCCCGGGCAGTATTCCAGCCCTAATACATATCGAATGATTTGTGTGGAGCATATGTATTTGGTACCTTGAACCAATCTTTATGTATTTAAATACATAAGGAAGCATTAAGCATTGAAGATACGATTCAAGAAAATATGAATTAGTGAAATGAAAAAAATTTATAAAATTAGAAGCTTAGTATTTGGGCGAAGACAAAGAATCACAATTGATTGATCACTCGGTGGTGATCAATGTCATGTGTGTCAAGTCTTTCTTAGTGCAGATAGAATGTTATCGGCAAAGTTGCAATGTGGCCACTAGTCTAAGCGACTCGACATTGCGTGCACTATGTTGAGATTAGATGGTGGTTGGAGGTAGTCAATAGGAAACCCCGGACTCGGGTTTCGTGCTACTTGGCACTTGTCAGCAAGGTGTACCTGTAATCTTGAGGAAACTGGTGCCCCCTGACGGATTCGATCTCGTGTCGCCCAGCTTCATAGTCAGATAGCATTCGATATGCACTAAGAAGGACTTGACACACATGACATTGATCGCCACCCAGTGATCAATCAATTGTGATTACATCTCAGTCCTACAGTAAGTTAGTCAAGGCTCGGATATCTCAGTGTTAACGTCTCTGACTGTGAAGCTGGGTGACACGGGAGCGAACTCGTCAGGAAGCACTAATTCCCTCAAGATTACAGGTACACTTTGCTGTCGAGTGCCAAGTAGCACGAAACCCGAGTTCAGGGTTTCCTATTGACTACCTCCAACAACCATTCGAAGGCAAAGAATGGATGCATCTGCACCACAGCGAACGATTTTGAACCATTTTATTCAAAGTTTGACCATTGGTTACGATAAGCACACGAACCCCAACCAAGTAGTTCACACCTGGATCGTTCATTTGTTAGTGGCTTTATAGATTGATTAAATGTTTTTGTTTGGCCACCTCTAGCTTTCTTCCAGCCTACTCCTAAACCAGATAAAACATCGGCGGTGGTAGGGGATAAAGAACACATGTACCAACCACCTCATTTGATAAAAGTTTACAACAGCATGTAGCCTATTAAATAAGGGCTCTACTAATTTACCAAGCAATCAGAGTTGCCACTCACCAAAGCAAGTTTTCGTTTGAAAATAACCCTTCTGCACTGTTGTACATATATTATTCATTACGACTATTTATTCTAACCTATTACAAATGACCTTGGTTAGCAACAAAGTTAAACTAATTAATTTGTTGTAATTCGACTGCAAATAGTTCTCAATTTAATTTTTGAGTGTTGTTTTATTATTATTGTTTTAAACCACGGCTTTTATAATCAGTTCTAGTTGATCTTTTATGATAATCTTGGATTTCGATTGCAAATTTGACCATGGTTTTTAAAAGAAATTCTAAAACGTATTGTTTTGATTTTTATGTAGTGTTTGTCACAGGTTCATTTCATCTCGGGTACTACTGAAAACCGAAGGAAATTGGACAGGTGTCTCACCCCAGTATGAAACTCATCGACAATACACACCTATAAACTAGTCAGGGATAAAATATAGAACTACCAGGTCATATAGCGATCGTTAACTAATAGAACCATTAGGTTGGAATCTAATGATAAAGTCTCAGCTTCAATCAATTAACGATCATTTAATGTTATTTGTGACAACTATTTCACTTTTGACATATCTGAACTTTACCGGTCATGGATTCGCATCAAAAAACATAGTTAAGTAAATCATTAGTGAACTGATTATTATTGTTTTATCAGAATGGGTTTTGTGGAGAGTTTTAGAAATTTCACAGGTTGAAATCATGAGTCAGTTGAAGCTAGACCACCACTGAAAACCTGGAAGCACTGGACGGCCGTTTCCTCCTGGTATGGGACTCCTCAGCAGTGCGCATCCACGATCCCGCACCACGCGGGGCTCGAACCCAGGACCTACTGGCTTCGCGCGCGAGCACTTAACCACTAGACCACTGAGCCGGCATCCAACGGTGTTAATGTCTAACTTCGTAGAGGTTGATTTAACCTGTAGGTTATATTCATTGCATCTTGATCTCAGTTGAGCCAATCAAAAGACGAAAAAATGAGAACACCACGTTGAACTAAAGACAAGTGAACCTTATTGGCCAATAAAGTGTTTAATTTTTCAAGGAGTATATATATGCATATGTACATAAAAACTAATGAGTCTTTATGTATTTGATTCAGTTGAGGCCAATAAACTTCCTCCTTCAATTTTAGTTTCCTCACTCAGTAGTTGCATGGGCGCTTGTATACAGGAAGTTTTGTATATCAGTACTAAACTCGGGCACAGCACATCATTAGAGCTACAGTACACCATTAGTAATCGTTGATTACTGGACATCTGTTTTGTTCTGATTGTAATTCAAAATATATAGTATACCAAGATTAGTAACTTTTGGAAAGTTTTTATTTGTTTTAGATTAAAGCTCTGAAATTTCTAGGGATCACTTCTATGCGATCTTCATATAACACTAAATGAAGATAAAATGTATGGTGCTTGAATTCAAGCAGTATATATCGACTTCAACCTTGAATGTCAACAACTGGACAATTTATACGCTTTCCAATGATAGTATAAACATCATATCCGTTGAACAGTTTAATGGCTACCTAGACTCAGTAGCTCAGTGAATAACGCACTAATGTATGAAGTGTACTGGGTTCGAGTTCGGATGTTTACACTAACATTGAGATGAGGCAGGTACATTCAGCTGACAGGTCTCAAATAGGATGACACATGTGTTCTAGATTGCATTACTATTGTCCCATATACCAATATACTAAAAACACTTGTGATCAAAGGCTATCATCAAAGTGATCCGTTTCAAAAGCCCATTCAACGTCAAAGACTGATCATAAATTGCATTGTTGAATATCGACAACACCACCAACAAGAACTTACAAACTTTTGCTATCATCAAAATCATATTAAATTTGCAGAAAAAGACTTAAAAATTCTGCTTTTAGAAAGGTAAAAATAAATAAATAAATTATAAATATATTAAACGTATGAACAAAGAAAATTGTTTACCGCTACCTAGCTAGAGAGAGTGATCACATGTGCAAACACATATACACACACAAACACAGTAATACTTCGCACAAATGAATATAACTAATTAAAAAAAGACATAATAGCCAACATCAATGTTCAGTATCACGTGTAAACAACAGTCGACATGTGTATGTGTTTATGTATGTATGCTTTCTTTACATTTTATAAGGGTGTATGTTTTGGGTTTTAGTATTGTTATTGTCTTTGCTTTTACTGTCATACTTTTTCCTTAGTTATTTTTGTCGCTTAACTACTTGAAATATTTACAATTAAAAAAGAAAACAAACAAATCGAAATCCATCTTCCTATTTAAATATAAGACTGCAATTGATTAGTTTCTTATTGGTATATGTGCATCCTGTGCGGATTACCTCGATATTGCCAGTACGTCAAATGTATTATTAACAGAGGCGAATAGTGGCTAGCAGTGGAATCCAGGGTAGGCGTTCCATCCTGTTTGGGAGTCAGTCATCAACTGGATATACCTGAATTCCAGAGTTGATGTTCACTTCGGGACTCGAGAGCCCAGTATCGTCTGCTTCAAACGCCATCGCGTTATCCACTTAGTTCTGTTAACCACTGACTTGTGCAATGGGGTGAAGTTTAAATCCATTTTTTATTGGTTGTTTGCTTACTAGTGAATAATATTATTGGTTACGAAGAAAAATTACCACCTAGTACTTACTTGATTATCACTAACACAGTCCAACCACATACTACGTAAACAGCATACAAACATGTTCATTAATACTGACCACCAGTCATTGGTAATTTTTAATTTATTCATATACGCTTTTAAATCATGAGAAGATTCAAATTTATTAGCTCGTTGTTTCATTATCGTCATCATTGACGAGTTCGATCTACGTGAATGATGTTGGCGCTGTTGACGATTAATAGTATTTGTCGACTGAAGAAATACACGTTGTAAACAGCAAGCGGCTAAATTTAGAGCATTGAACCAATTAGTATATTTTGTTAAAATATCAGAAGAACCATCGTCAGAAAACTGAATGAAATGAGCGAGAAAAACAAATGAGACGAGTAAAATAACCGACAAGTATAAGCATGAAAGACAATTAATAACAAAAATAAGTTAATTTAAGTTCAAGGTGTATTTTTTGTATGTGTATTTATATTAATTATTAAAATGTATACTTTTTTCTATGCAGTGATGGATTATTGGTTAAAGCGTTCGATATTCAATGATAGTATTAAAGAGTTCAATTTCATTTTCCATACTTCAGTCTAGAAATACTCGAATTGTATCTTTTTTCATTCAAAAAAATTATGGTTCAAATCTCTTCATTGTTCCATTCAAGCAGTGAGTTTAGACAAGGTTGCCCAATCTCACTATTCCTCTTCAACTTCGCTATCGACGACGTTCTGGAAACAGCTCTGATGGATGTAAGGAATGGCGGTATGGATCTGTTGCATAGAGAAAGAATTCTCGATCACCAGTATGAGGATGATATCGTTTTACTGTGCGATAATGCCCAAATCATGCAATCCACACTTAATCAGTTGGCAATCAGTGTCCGTAGTTACTGTAAGTGCTTTGCACCTTCCAAGTGAAAAGTACTTCTACAAGACTGGCAGAATTATAATCCTATACTCACCCTGGGTGGTGAGCAGATAGACGTAGTCGAGAAGTTCGTGTATCTAGGTAGCTGCATAAGTGCTGGTGGTGGCGTGAGTCATAAGATCGATTCACGTATAATCAAAGCCAGAGAGGCTTATGCCAATCTGCACCATCTTTGGCGCCTTCCTTATGTCAGTCTCGCTGTAAAAGGTTGGATCTACAACGCGTCGGTGAGAGCAGTTCTGCTCTATCCTTGTGAAACATGGCCTATCCGAGTTCAGCATGTTAGATGACTCTCTGTGTTTGATCATCGTTGTCTCCGAACGATTGCTGACATCCAGTGGTAACACCATTTTAATAATGCAGAGGTTCGACATCGTGTGTTCGGACACAGCGACGATAATTCAATTGGTGTCACCATCTTGAAACATCGACTTCGGTGGCTTGGACATGTTTTACGAATGTCGACCCAGCGAATTCAATGTCGTGCATTATTTGCCGATACTGGGACTGGTTGGAAAAAGCGTAGAGGTGGTCAGTGTATGACATGGTGTCGTGGTATGAAAGAAAGCTGCAAAGGACTGGCTTCTGTTGGTCCTTCTCGACTCCCTGACTGGGGTCGGAGGGATGGTGCAACACAGTGGCTAGAGACGTTATCAGATATGGCTCAGAATAGAAGCCAGTGGCGATCCTGATGTAACTTTATTTTACTTCATAAAAAAACGTAACCTCTTTAAGTGGAAGAATTCTCTGTGGTTGTACTTTAGCTAATTGAACTGTCCCTCCCATTATTGTTATTTACTATCAAACACCAATTTCCGTTCATTGTTGTACTTCTTTCTTATACGCACCTTACATTCTTTATATCTTCACTTTCTGATTATTATTGTGCGGCGCATATATATCTGGTGCCCCTATGTACCAATATTTATATGTTCAAATAAATAAATGAATACATAAACCTGAAACTGATGACTTTCAAACTAAAATCTACGTTTTATTTTTACTACACTACTGACAGTAAGAAATACTATTATCCATTATTTGTTAAAGATGAACGAGCAACTAATTTCCCACATGTATATTGGTACTTTAAATCTCCAGAAGATACCTAAAGGCTAGAGGTATTATAGAGTTGATTAAACCAAAGTAATTGGTTGAAGCAGTGGTGCATTACAAACTATTATTCAGATAATTAAATCCAAGTGCTTTAGTTACTAGCCAATGCAACCAAAAAGAGAAACAATTACTACATATCATGTGCCAACAATGGGTATGAGTAGTAACCATGGTCGCAACTGATTGGTCACTGATTATCAATGTCATTTTTGTCCCACTCAGTAACTCAGTTTAGAGGTACACCTAGCTACTATGTGACAACTAACACAAAACCTAACTCCACAGTTACCTTCCGAATACTTTCCGCAAACTAGCACAGTATTTAAATCAGTGTACAACTCTATAAAGTTAAAACCAATAACTATTTTACGCGAATAATAATGGAAGCGTAACCAAAAAATATTTTCAGACAATAAACTTATATATTACTGACTTCTACTGTAGTAGCTTGGTGTTAATGGTATGAAGATTTAACGATAAATACATTCATTAATTTTCCATATGTATTAACAATAAAACTTTCTGTGTGCCTGCGAATATATATATATATATATATACGACTGCGTAAAGTAATACAATAACGCAACACATTGATCAAGTAAAGTTTTCTGTACTAGATTTGGAGCCTAGTACACAGTTTTTGAGGAACCTGCCAGTGGAACAATGACTTAGTGGTTAGGGTACCTGACCTTCAATCACTAGATCACATGTTTGAAACACGCTCTACCTACTTCCGTATGGAAAAATGGATAGTATTACCTAGCATCATATTTTGAGTGTGGTTTGTAGCCAAGTAGACAAAGCGAGATTCTAGTTCATGACATTATTGAAAGTTGTAACCATTTAAGCTATCACAACTGTAATTAAATCTTAGTGTTTTCACTTTTTTCCCTTCGTAACATATAAAAAAGCTGTAAATCAATAAATAAGTATTCAATACCATGACCAATTGGAAGAAAGATGATTTCTTTTAGGAATGCATAAATGTTGAAATTTTTTAAGCAAGAAAAAAATTTATTTATTTTTTTACTCTCCGCTTTTATCGTATATATTGTGAGTTTAGTCGAATATTAAACAACTTTTCAGTATATCTATCGGGAAACAACTTAAGTATCATTGGTTGGAAGGGTTAGTTGTAAGCTTAATGCAACCTTAAATTGACTATTGTATAAACATAGGCATACGTATTTATACGAAGTGTATATAATAATGAATCGTAAGCAGATATGGGAACACTTAATTCTAGTTTGTTTGTATCTTAATAAAAACCAGGTCGTTTATACAATGTTTATGGTTCTTATTTGTAGATTGATATCACATGATCTGTAATAAAATGTAAACACTTTTGTATTACGTGCTTTTTTTCCAAGTTATTTTGTAGAACTGAAAGTCTATTGGAAGAAATATTTGTGAACTTGTAAACGTGACTTACAGCAAATTAAGCTGTAGTTATTTGCAACATTTTTTATATTCACTAAGGTTATCGTATCTAACAGTTCCGATCACTTTCTTATTTATATAATGGGAGGAGCACTGTATAATTTTTATTAAAGGTCTCACTTCGAATAACTTAATAGTTGAATTCATGAGTCGATTTAGGATAGACCACCATCGAAAACCTGGAAGCATTGAACGGCCGTTTCGTCCTACAATTGTGCATCCACGGTCCCGCACGCAGGACCTTCCGTCTCGCGTGCGGACGCTTAACCTTCAGACCACTGAACCGGTACCCAACGGTGTTAATGTCTAACGTCAATCAATCCATGATCTTGCGCAACCCTTCGTCTATTGTCTGAGGTGGATAACTGTCACTAGTGAGTAGTATGGGGTAGTCTAGCTTAGATCGACCCGTGAATTCAACGGTGAAAACACTACAATCTCTACAAAATCCATATACTGATAATAATTTTTTGTTAAATCGAAAGAAGTAAAAACGATGGAAGAGATAACATGAAAGAATATATATAATACATGTAATGATAACTTATGTACTCACTTTTTCAATACTAGATGATAATTTTTTCGATAATTTAACTGGACCAGATAAAACAGTATTCAAATAGATTTTCATTTGCATTTTACTTTGTTCACAAGCTGATTGCATGATAAACGTATCAACTGAAGGAGTTAATAATTCCGAATCCTTATTTTTATCTTGTTGATAATGGTGATTTGAAGTGGTGATAAGATTAGTTCGTTGAATTGCTTCCGGATAAGAAATAAATGCAGCAGAAAATAGACAACTTACAATAAATAATGTATCACTTAAACAGCAACGATCTAATGAGTCTTTAATTAGATCACATGAAGAATAACAGTATGGGCAAATTGGTTTTTTCATAGATAGTTGTATTTGTTTTTCATGTTCTTCATTAGGAGTAAAACAATGTGTATACCTATCTGGAACTAAATGTTCTAGAAAAAAGTACAAAAATAGGAGATAAAATGTCTGTGATGGAGATTAGTTAGCAATAAATAAATAAATTATTAATTAGTCAGAAATTTAGCAGTAACATCTGAGGAATAAACGCTCTTGCATCTCTGATCACATTTCTCTGTGGATTTGTTAATTGATCTGCTGCTTCTAATGAAGACAGGTTTTATAGGTCGTTTGATGCGTATTCTGTCTAATATAATTTAAAAATACTATATGATCTGGTTGAAAAGAGGTAGAAGTGAATCTATATGGAGCTAGTGAACACGGATCATTCGATAGAAAAAGAATATCAAACGTTCAAAATCATCTTATAAGGTAATCAGAAGTATTTCAAAGATAGTGAGCTTCCGTATTCTTGTTATCGTTGAATCTTTCGACAAATATATCTTGGAAAGCCGGTATTAGGCAATGAAGGAAACATGGTCTCAACTTTTAGTTTATCATTGCTACTGACCCCTTCCATTTTACTCAGTCAGTCAGCTACAACATAGGACCAGGCACATATATGCATCGGTCCAAGTTGCCATACCGCATTAGCACAGCAAGATGAACACTGGATTCATGGGAGTGGTTAAGTCAATGGTGGTAATATATAAAAGAAAGAGTGCATATAAGAATATGGTACAGGAAAAAAAGAATTAGTTCGTAGAAAGGAAAATATGAAGTGATTTTAATCTCAGTTTAAGGGAAGACAGAGAGTGTACACACCGACGCCATTGTGATCGATTCTGAGCCATGTCATTAAGAGTCTCCAAACATTGGTTACGATAGTCGCACTGACCCCAACCAAGTAGTCTGCATCTACCAACATGGCTAAGACTAGAAGTTAGTGACTTCAAGCACAGGTGCCACGTTTTGGTTTGACCGACCCTAACTTTCCCCCAACCATCCCCAAAACCGGTTAGCAGTGCACGTCGTGTTAATAGGTGTTCAGGCATACGCAACACTTGACCCAACCATCTCAGTCGATGAAGATTCACAACCTCATCAACTGATTTACCATCATTCCCTAATACCCTGCATCTAACCTCTCTGTTACTTACCCGGTGATTCCAGCAGACGCCAGCAATATTTCTAAGGCATTTGTGGTTAAATACTAGTAGCTTACGAGTATCTACTCTTAATGGCCATGTTTCGCTGTCATGAAGTAAAACAGAACGAACTGCTGAGAAGTATACTCGTCCTTTCACTGATAGACGGATATCTCGCCTTCGCCATAAGTGACGTCAGTTGGCGAAAGCCAAACGAGCTTTTCGAATCCGTGCTGAGATTTCGCCAGACACCAACCCATTAGGGCTGACCAGACTTCCAAGATAAGTGAAGTTGTTAACGCGTTCATAATCAACCTCCCATTTTACTACTGACGTTTTACCCCAAACCAAATTTTATGTTCCATACTTCACTTTGATTAGATTTCATTTTAACTTCACTAATGTCATATTATGTTACATAACCCTTTTTCATAATTACTAGTCTTACCTAACGTCTATAACACCCTTAATGAACATTTAAGATTTTAAAAAGCATATTTTTAGTTTTTCGACCATAGTAACAACACTGTTCTTTATTTGGGAATTTGTCACTATGGTCAGTAAATTAATGCTATTACCAAACATATTATTGATTATCAATGTGAAAGAAGTACATATTTAGCGATCGTAAAGCTTCGAGAAAGAAACTGCCCTGAAAAGAGAACCCTTCACAGGACCAATGTATTTTGTTTTCATGCCCCCCATTGGGTGAATTCCGTTTACAGAAATGTTTTGACAGTTCGGATACTGTAAGCGTAAGTAGGTCATAAGCCGTTATACCTATTAAGTTGTCTAAATAAATAGTGTCGTAACTTATAATTGTCCTACTCCCTCTAATGTAGTTTTATTTATCAATTTAACGTACAGATTTTTCATATGGGAATAGAATGTACATGATGATATCATTATCTTTCAGCAGAATGAGCAGTATTTGAGTCAGCCGTTGGGGAATAATTAAAGGTAGGAAACTGGATGAAAATCTATCGATTTAGCGGCTAGGATAAGGATTATCCGTACTCAACTACCATCAATTACTCCGAAATGCAATGATTTCAAGTATAAGAGTAGGTTAAAGAATGATAGTCGAAGCCAGTTGTTCATGATAACGTAGACTCCGCCCATGAATTCACTGACTGTTGGCCTCAGGCATGTTGATAAATGAAAACTACCTGGTTGATGTCTGGGTGATTATCAAACCAGTACTTGGAGGCGTTGAACGACACGCTATAGTATCAGTAAAAACGTCACAGATCCATTCATTAGTTCTTAGCCATAATTTGTTTTATTTATTTGAACATATAAATATTGGTACAAAGGAGCACCGAACACATATGCGCCACACAAGTCACTTGATTTATGTGTGGGCTGTGATATTGCCGGGTACCCAGACTGAAGCAGGTGGTAATCTTAGGGGATCACACCTGGAGCTTTCGATCTAAAGGTGTGACCCACAAGGCAGTGGATCAACGTAAGGAGATGCAGTCTTATGATAGCCGGTGACCAATAACTGGTTCATACGCCATTTTCTCCCTCAGGGTCGTGTAGCCCATATGCACCATTGGTTTAGAATGAGGATTTTCCAACTACCCTAGATGGACCCTCCGTGTTCACCAACCCGGTTGAAGCGCCGGACATTCGCTCTTCGTCCTCTCAGTTTCGAAAACAACACCCCTATCACGAAAAGTTAGTGAGTAGGACTTCCGTGGAAGTGACTGTATACACGTGGCCATGTGAGAGCATTTCGAGAGGGAGGGCAGACTCTCCCCACCCTCGACCGTACCAGGGTACTTGGGACCATAATTGGTTTAACAACCATTAAATCTTGCTTATTCGATCCAGTTACTTCGACTACCTAGTATCCCTCAGACACTACTCCACTCGACCGATCCTCAAATCTGTACACAGCTTGGACAGGGACGTAATAATACTTCAAAACAATACGGCATGTTAACTAAGTTCATACAATAAAAAATGTAAGTCTATTCATAAGTTTCACACAGGAAGATTCTAGGGACTTCTCAATTTATTCACTAGCTCCGGTCAGCTAAAAAATGACTCAACCAGAGTACTCCGACGCAATTCTGTATGAAACATGATCTAATTCAGTCTATTTCCCACTGATAACAACACTGAATTTAAACAAACGGGCGAGTAACTAATCAACCTCAATGTTAAAATAATTAATCCTAATGAAATCGTAACAACATTGAAAACAAAATAAAAATTATACTAGCAAGAGTAAAAACATACTGAGTAATGGCCAATATCTTATTTGTCTGATCTTTTAGCACTGATCAGATTCTACAGATTAAATTGCAGTGTGGTCATTAGTTTAACTGATTCGATTAAGACTAAGAACAAACATGATATCGGTTACTGCTCATTGATCAATTAATTGGAAATCTCTCAATCCTATAAGAAATCAGTCATGGACTTAGTGGTAACATCTTAGACTGTGAAACTGGGTAACGTAGGTTCTAATTACGTAGGGAGAATGCGCCTCATCAGGATTGTAGGTATCTCTTGCTGATGAGTACCAACCAGCACGAAACAAAGGTTCAGTGTTTACCAACCACTTATCAGACAAAGTAGAACGATTATGGTGTGAATAATAAACATAATTGAACAGTAGAAAAAACGTGGAGAAAGATAGAAAAAGGTTAGTTTCTAAGAGTATCTTAATAAAATTACCGATAAATATTAAATAAATTGGAAAGAATGCAGCCAAGAAGATGTTAATAATAATAATACCTAATAAGTAAGCGAATAAGAACTCAGCAATAATACATCTTACTGTTAGACAAATGAATAAAAAATTAATTGAGATCATGAAACGATCGATGTTAGACCATCATTGAAACCCTGGAAGCATTGGACGGCCATTCCGTCTTAGTATGAGACTCCTCAGCAATGCGCATCCACGATCCCGCACGCGGGACTAGAATCCAGAGCCCTTGGTCTTGCGCCCCAATACAAAAGTAAAGCAAAGGTAAATGAACAGTAGTGCCAGAAACCACTTTTATTCAAATTATTTTACTTACCAAGAAGCATTAAAGCTGGTAAAGTATACTGAAATATCATGTTTAATGATTCAATTACAATTGGATTCAATATGGTATCAGTATGATGCATTTGTTGATATACCATGAACCATAATTCTTCTGACTTAGCAATATAAGATTTTAATACAGCAAATGGTAAAGAATACGTTTGTGAGTCATTCATTTCATTATTTTTATTCATTATACCGTCATTATCGTAACTCTCGGCAGAACAATTTTGATGGTGATGATTGTTTACTGATGAGGAATATGGTGTGAGCATTTTATCCCGATCATTTGTATTAGTTAGATTAGATCGATGGTGACCATAAGCGAGATTACGATTGAAGGAGCCAAGAATCTGTATTATTCAAAAGAAAAACAAAGGAGGACAAAGCAACAAATTGATCACTAAGTTGAAAAATCAGTACATTTACGAGAAACAGATTTGTGTACTTGGTTTAGAAAGACACTATAAGTATGATGACTAATGATACAATCTGGATGCATGAACCAAGGAAGGAAGAGATGGGTACAAACATGGGACTTAGTAACCGAAAGTCAAACGCCCTATCCCCAATATATATGTGTAGGATTGTGGGGATTGTTGAATTTCAATGATACAACGAACAAATCTGAGTTAGACAACCATTGAAAACTTGGAGGCAATGGATGGCCACTTCGTCCTAATACGGGACTTCTCAGTATTGTGAAACCACAACTCTGCAGCTGGGAATCGAGCACAGGATTTTTGGTTTCCGTGGTCTAGAGGTTAAAGATTCGAGCAAGAGACCGAAGGGCCTGGGTTCGATTTCCGGTCGCGGAGTTGTGGATGGGCACTACTGGAACGAAACAGGCTTTCAGTAATCTCAGGTTTTCCGCAGCAGTCTAACGCAGATCAGTCAATGAACTAAACTGTGAATATTGATGAATTTATAATTTCCCGTTTGAGTTTTTTGATAATCGAAATTATAATTGATCAGTCACAGTTGAGATTTAGGCATCCTTTGTTGATTGATTCCGGTATCGTCTACATTTTTGGAAATAGTTCATTTCCCAATATATAACTCACTGAGTACAATATCCGTTCTAGTGATTAATATTATTATTATTACAAAAATAATTAATTTGATGAAAACAAATATATTACTCACTGATATAGCTAATTCAGAAAGTTGCGATGTATTCGATTTCCTCAGTGCATCAATAATCATTGAACCTAAATAATTACGATTGGAATTGATTGGAACTAATGTTGAATTTTTATTATTAGTAGTAGTGCCAGTAATTTGTTCATTTTCATCAGATAAAGTAAATGTATTTAATTCTGAAGAATTCAAAGATTTTCCAAATTGTTCAATATTTACACTAACAGTCTATCAATGAAAGAAATAAAACGATATTTGAGATGGTGAAGAAGATTTGTAGCTCGGGTGGATGATTTTGATGGAGTTTTGTTCTCTGAGCTGGATGGTTTGGTCGTGGAGCTTTCATCGTTCTTCTGAACGACATCATCAGCACAAACTTCAGATAGAAGTGAAGTGTTCGAATTTCTCCATATGCGTTTCACAGCTTGTTCTGTACACTTCGATGTTGATTGGTTCTTTTTGACCAAATCATCCAGCTCAGAGAACAAAACTCCATTAAAACGATATTTATTACATAAACATAACAAAAAGAAGATGCAGTAGAGTGATATACAATTAAATGAAATGATGATTATATAATAATGATTCAATAAGAATTCAAATGTTACATGAAATAAAATAATCGCTATTTTGGATAAAAAATGCATTGGATATTAGATTGATTTTAATTTAGATTAGTTATTATAATTTTTATGGTCAGAATCTCCAATATGAACGTAAAGATAGTTCTAGTGTACGGAACTGGAACTTGGAGAACTAATACAATCATCATCAAGAAAGTACAAGTATTTATAAACAATTGTCTACTCAAGATACTCAATGTCTGTTGGTACGATACCATCAGCAACAACCGACTATGGAAGAGAACACACCAGCTTTCAGATGAAGAAGAAACTAGGAAAAAACGATGAAAATGGATAGGACACGCATTAAGGAAATCACCAAACTGCATCACGATGCAAGTGTTAACTTGGAATCCTGAATAGAACGGGAAAAGAGGAAGGCTAAAGAACACACCACGTCGAGACTTGGAATCAGTAATGAAAAGGATGGATAACAACTGGAAATGATTGTCCAGGACAAAGCTGAATGGAGAATCCTGGTGGGTGACCTATACTTTTCCAATGAGGAGTAACAGGCGTAAGTAAGTATAGTAATTATGTTCAGATACACATCTTATCAGATATTCATATCTACTTCCCAGTTAGAATATCAACACCTTTAGAATACTTGCTCTATATTTATCCACACTAATTAAAATATCCTTGAGTCACTAAAAATCAGGTTCTTTAGCTAATTCATCAAATAGAATCTTACAAATATATTTGTAATTCAATTGTTGTTCTTTTTTCTATTAGGAAGAGCTTACCTCTCGACTTGCACATACCAATCCTTGTATATCTTTAAAACATGTCATAATCACATTTGTAGGTGTAATTAGATACAATCGACATAGTAATAATACTGCACGAAATTTTAAATCTTGTATTCCAGGTGATGTAGTTGATGGATTAAATGATAAATCTGACACATTTGAAAAATTTTCATGAACTGATATTAAATTTAAACAGTTTCTCAATAAACGTAAAGCATCCATAACAGTAGTTATTTCATTGAAATCATTATTGTCAGTTGAATATCGTCGTGGAGATGATGATGACGATGTTGAATTAAAAGAATCAAAAGTTGTTGATTGAAAAATTTGAGTTTCACGATAATGTATATATTCTTTAACACGAATTTCAGCTAATTTATAGCATAATGATGCAACAGGCAGGATAAATGGGTTATTGTCTAAAAAGAAAGTAAAAAAATGCAAAAGTGAATTTTGAAAAAAAAACTCAATGAACTTTTACTGATAATAATCTACATTTAAGAGAATATAGATCGGATGTAAACTTTACAAATTATGCACGACAATAATACTGTGACAGTTTTGACTCGTATGAACATTTGGAAGAGAAAAGCTAAGAACTAAAAACTTTTACTCTCCTCCTTAAAGTTATAGAGCAGTATATAACGGGTTGATAAATGCAACAGAAAACAGCAGTAGGATCTTTGCTAACATATATTCTGAGTCATGGACTGATTAGGTCTGAAGCCAATGAATCGCACTAATTCAAGGACTCAATTATGGTATCGTGATGAACCAACTCATTTTCCACTCCCTTACAGCTTTCTTTTATACCATAATACCATGTCATAAACTAGTTCTCCGCTTCACCACCCAGTCGCAACATCCACAAATAATGTACGATGTGAAAGCGGTTAGGAAGAAATTCATAGAGTATGTCTAACCTATGAAAGCAAGTGTTTTAAGCATACATTGTTAGATGTGTTTAAATAACATACTATAACTAAAAAAGGATAGTTTGATAAGAGTAGCTTTTAGTGACCGTGGTTATGTTTCAAAATAAAATGGGCTATTCTGTTGTTAAACTAAGAATCAGAACGCATGAATTAATTCTCGATGCGTCACTCAAGTTGCATCCTGTTCGCAACCTCAGTAAAACAAGGATGTTCTTTCTGAACAATGTAGTTCGATTATACAATGCATGGACTAGAGATTAACCATGCAGAAGATTGATAGGGACAATCGATTCCATTAATGTATCTGCGAAGAAGCTGAATATAGAAATATTGTTAGAAGCGGACTGTTCTCTGGGATTGTCTATTGAGGAAGGGTGTGCCTGAGAAGTTTATTAACATCCTAAAGGCCCTATATACAAACACCTCAGGCAGAGTGAGGGCATATAACCACCTTACTCCATTGTTAGACAGGGTCGCCCAATCTCACCATTCCTCTTCAACTTCGCTATCGACGACGTTCTGGAAACAGCTCTGATGGATGTAAGGAATGGCGGTATGGATCTGTTGCATAGAGAAAGAATTCTCGATCACCAGTATGAGGATGATATTGTTTTACTGTGCGATAATGCCCAAATCATGCAATCCACACTTAATCAGTTGACAATCAGTGTCCGCAGCTACGGTATGTGCTTTGCACCTTCCAAGTGAAAAGTACTTCTACAAGACTGGCAGAACTATAATCCTATACTCACCCTGGGTGGTGAGCAGATAGAAGTAGTCGAGAAGTTCGTGTATCTAGGTAGCTGCATAAGTGCTGGTGGTGGCGTGAGTCATGAGATCGATTCACGTATAATCAAAGCCAGAGAGGCTTATGCCAATCTGCACCATCTTTGGCGCCTTCCTTATGTCAGTCTCGCTGTAAAAGGTTGGATCTACAACGCGTCGGTGAGAGCAGTTCTGCTCTATCCTTGTGAAACATGGCCTATCCGAGTTCAGCATGTTAGATGACTCTCTGTGTTTGATCATCGTTGTCTCCGAACGATTGCTGACATCCAGTGGTAACACCATTTTAATAATGCAGAGGTTCGACATCGTGTGTTCGGACACAGCGACGATAATTCAATTGGTGTCACCATCTTGAAACATCGACTTCGGTGGCTTGGACATGTTTTACGAATGTCGACCCAGCGAATTCAATGTCGTGCATTATTTGCCGATACTGGGACTGGTTGGAAAAAGCGTAGAGGTGGTCAGTGTATGACATGGTGTCGTGGTATGAAAGAAAGCTGCAAAGGACTGGCTTCTGTTGGCCCTTCTCGACTCCCTGACTGGGGTCGGAGGGATGGTGCAACACAGTGGCTAGAGACGTTATCAGATATGGCTCAGAATAGAAGCCAGTGGCGATCCTGCTGTAACCTTCTTTCACTTTCTTCATAAAAAGTGGTTGTAACTTCCTTAATTAAAAGAACTCTTTGTGGTTGTACCTTTCTGTTTCCCCCATTATTATTATTATTATTATTATTATTATTATTATTATTATTACTATTATTATTACACTACCATAAACTAATATGTGATCGTCATTGTTCCCTCTTTTTTCTTCTCTCTCATACGCACCTTACATTATTTATATCTTCACTTTCTCATTGTTATTGTGTGGCGTATATATATCTGGTGCCCCCTTGTACCAACATTTATGTGTTCAAATAAATAAAGAAAGAAGCGGACACGTGATGTTGCGAGATATTTGATTTGTAAATATTTTACTAACAACTATTTGCGGTATTTTTAACAAGTGAGTATGATTTTCACTAGTCAGTATAAGCAGTGAGCAGTATAGTGAGTCATGAAAAAGTTCATTATACACAAATCCCAGATATTATAAAACTTGATGTTGATACCCACAACCCGATGTAAAGCATCAAAATGAGATTTTACAAATCTAGTGTTTTTCGGAGTAGCAATAGAGTCCTCAAGCTAAACACAGTCTGTTCAATGAATGCGAGTTGATCTATTAATGTTGCTCAGTATGGGCAAAAATGAACTCTTGGGAAGTGTTGAGAACGGTGTAAAGTGATAACCCATTGAAGCAACAGCCAAGCAACTGAACAGCTTAAATTCTGAAGACATCTAGATACGTTTTGGACAATGAAATTGGAGATAGGACAAGTGTATTGCTGTAAGTTGGGAGTATTTGGGAGGGTACAAAATTGGTGTACCATAAATTTCATGAAGGCCTTCATAACCGCATTCCGCACGTTTATTACACAGACTACGTAAATATTTCAATAGATGACCGTAAAAATTTAGCAGAACACTAGTCGATCAAGCACGAAGAAAAGCGTTATAATATAAAACTATTTAAAAATACATTACTAGACTTCATATAATCTCACCTTTCATATATGCCTCTCGACCATTAGGTTCCTCTGAACATTTATTTAGAAATTCTTTATAACCTAAAGTTGTTAGATCATATAGTTTAACAACACCTAACCCAGGTTCTTTTACAAGCCAATATGTATGACCTTCTTGTGTTGCATTCCGTTTTAAAAACATAACTAAATTACGTATAATTTGATTAATTTGCTCTGTTTCAAATCCAATAATCGGTGGAATTTCACATGTTTTGTAAATTTCATATTCTTGCATCACGATACCTTCATGATGATAACACATAGCCACTTCGGGGACTTCATTGATAATATTTTCAAGCCATACATCAATTCCAGTTAAAACATTAATCGACTCATGTAATGGACTTAACTTTAGACTAATGCAAGGATGTTTCGGTGTGCCGAATATAGGCATATCAGAGCCCACAATGAAACTGAGATCTTTCAATTGCCATTCAGCAGTATGAAGATATTGATCTGGATTTATAACCCATGATGATCGAAACTGTCTACTTTCATTATTTTGTTCTGCATTGTTGGTTGTAACTGTATCATCCAACGATGATGACAATGCGACATCTACCATGGATAAATGTTCAACCCCAACAGAACTCGGATCCAAACGAGTGCAAGCTACTTCCTTAGTGATTTCATTTCCAGCATGATCATTACCACTTGATGAAGGTAAACTTTTTGGTTGTAACATTTGTATTTTTTTCAAGCCAAGTTCAGGGGACTGAAAAACCCTATCCGAGAGGAGACAAAATAAAAGTAACATATCAAATAAAACAATGAAACCAGATACTTACGTATGATATAGAAATTTCGATTCAAGATCATTTGAAATCAACACATTACGCGACAATGAATGAGAACACAAACGATAATCTTCCTTTTTTAGAAATTCACGAAGCCATAACCATTCGTGCTACAAAAATGAAGAAATTATCTCAGTGAAAATAAAAATATAACATACACATTCACCTCCGGATAACAAGAATGAATCAATATCGAATTCATTCAGAAGCCATGTTCTTCCTATTTTATGAATCATAGTTGATGTACGACTATTATTTTTGAAAAAAGATCGAATAAACGATTTGAATGTCTACAAAAAAAGTTAGCATATACAATAAGATTGAACAAATTACTTTGATTCCACTGATTACATCAATATGATCCAGTTCATTTAAATATTCATTGGCTACTTTGAATCTAATAGTAAAATTCATATTGGTATAAATAAACAGTAGCAACCAACCCAGCAAATGGAGATTTGATTGAATCTGACATTGTAGCATGGTAGATTAGTTTTTCGATGTAGGATTTCCTTGTAAGATAGTTTTTTGGCATTCTATGTAGATTGAAACCCTCATGTAATACCATACTGCCAATATCGCCTGGACTCCATAGAACGATTGATTTGTCAAAGTTAGCACAAATAGCTGTTTGTCTATTCTCCTTTTCTCTCGTTTTATGAAGTTTGTCTGATTCATCTGATGATTGGTTTTGTGTATTACAGTTCATGATTACCTATAATGATAAAAAAAGTAAGTTATATTCACTACTGAAAAGTCTGAAAGTGAGATCATACTTGTTTAAATATAAGTAAATTCTTCGACAGAACTTATCTTACGCATTAAAGTTTTACTTTGATTATACCCGTTAGAATAGTTTTTTCTATGTCAAAAGCTCTATTATTCGTCGATAACAATTTTTAAAGGATGACTACACTTATTGGTAAGCCTTTTTAATAAGATCTTGATGGACATGGTATTTCATTTCAAAATAACTCAATTTACTCTGGTCTGTATAAGTATGGATCTATGTAATTCATAGCCGAATGAAGTAACTCAAGTTTAAAATCATGCAGTTGTTTCGAACTACACAACTTCTGTGTGAGGGATCAGAATCCTACACAGATGTTGAGAAAAATTAGATGAAGCAAGATTTAGAGATACTATTTAGCGGTTTAATAATATGTGTTTCAGCTACTAAGCTACGGCTTCACTCATTTTCAAATAAATACATCAGTATTTGTTGTTTTAGTACACATCTTAGATCCTGTATAAACTAAAAGGGATCATATTGTTTCAGAACATCCAAAGTTTGAGAAATGTACACCAAATGTGACAGATTTGTCCGCTGGGGTAACGTTTTAGAATTATGGACATAATATCTGACTAAACAAGTTGATCACCCATCCTGTAAGCCTTCCAGTATATAAGTATCTACAAATACCTTATAAAAATATTATTTGCAGACCCGAACTCCTGCTTTTGTTTGTACTGATAAACTATCGTATAAGTAAGGAGCAATAAACGCCGTCAACTTTGACATACAAAGTAGACTGTTACTCATTATTCCTGAATGTCTCTCTTGCTCCATGGGTGTCGTAGGTTGATGAATCACAAAGGAAATTTCTAAGTCCGTGTTGAGATTTTGTCGGGAATTATTACAGTAGAGCTAACAAACCTCAATCAAGTGCTTCATACGATCAACTACTTGACTTTAAATCCCTCGGTGTCGGTAAAAACTCATGTCGATCATCATACTACCCCTAAAAACTGTCACCCAAAAAACATCTTCAGATTTTTTTTATAAAGATCATGGATCTTACCAACACACATGCAAGTTTTATTCCTTCCGATCAAATGCTTTTCAGGTAAGAAAACAACCATGGAAAAGGCAGAGACAGGAATTTATTTCCGTCAATATACTTATTCGAAAACCGATAGTGGAAGTTCATGGACGACATCAATTATCTTCCTAGCTTCGGATAATTCTTTATAAGCCTTTTGATGACTTCATCTTTGAGTAGTCATTTTGGTACCATAGTATGTCTGAATAGTACCCCGTTTTAATCAGAAAGCAGCATAAAGCCCTGTAATCGATGAACACAAATTCGAGAAACAAATAAGGTAAAAGTTGTATGATACCTAGAAGAAATCTTGTACTTTAGAACCTAGATTGTGTCAAAAAAGTGGATTCGTGTGAATATTGTTTAGTTTTAAGACTTATCTGGCTTTCTATCGCATAACATTTCCAAGTTCCGGTTAAGCGTAAAATAAATAAGAACACAAGATTCTAACAAAACAATAATAAGGTGTTTTGCCAGTAAACCAAAATAACCAACGGCGAAGACCGGCTTGTGATTAATGACTCCTAAAATTAATTTGGTCAGTTAAATTAAGCAGATTGCCACTTTTTGATACTTGGATTGCATCAAAAGTACTTTCGTCTAGCTTCATTTTATATTTATAGCAACCTGTACAGCTTAGACCATATATATAGTCGAACTGATATCAGTTAGTTGGACAGAAAATTATCCTTTGAGCACTATAAACGTACCGTTTATGCTAAAGGATTTGCATTGAATATATTTATATCAAGTCTGATGAGCTTATCATGTTAAGAAAATGAGACTAAGAAATCACAGATTATAACATACATAACGAAAGCAACCGCAAGGTAACGCCTAATTTCACGTCCAGCGGTAAAGTGTCTCAATAGACAATATCTTTAGGCAACGAATTATGTTTGTTTAGAAGAACATCTCCGTGTGCTATAGTAACTCCACCAAGAAGCTCGTTCAATTCATCGTCGTTGAGAATGGCTAACTGTGAATGTCCTGGAGTGATGCTAGTCTTCTTATCACGAGAAGCAATACCAGCTTATTCCATAAATTCTGCAGCCAGGTATTCGAGAACTCTGGACAAGTAAACCGGAACACCAACACGAACTCCCTTAGAGTAAGTACCGTTATTTAAAAGAAAATGTACACGCCCAACAGGGGACTGTAAAACGGCACGCATTGACTTTGTCTTAGCCTTACTGCGAACTTCGCCACCTTTACTGGATCCACTCATAATTTTCAAAAGTAGAGAGAAGTGTTTTTGATTTTACTGCAATCTTGTTTGAATTTTTGTGCTTTCAGAAAACTTGTTTACACAGGTCGGCATAGAAAGCGAAAATATTTTAGGTAGGTTTTGGAAGAAATCAAGATTTTTTCTATTTGAGTACTAATTATTCGGGGTTCTAGTCTCTAGTAAGGATGATAGATTTCTGAAATTAAAATTATTTTACGCAGATCCCGCTTTTTTACATATGTATCCTTTAATGTGATCAAAGAAGGACAATTTAGTTCCGAAACAATCATTCGATTTTATGAAGCGAACGGCAGACTTGAGGACACTCAAACAGCGAATTAATGGGCTTCAATGCTCACAAAAACGCGTAACGAAACTTAGGCACCTTTTATTCGCGTGACGATATATTCCGCGCTTTATTCGAGGAATCCCCTAGATTAACTAAACCACACGAGGATATTTCATTGGTGACCAATCATGTAGTGCACCATTTAGTCACCCGCGGACCCCCAGTCACGGCAAGATCACGCCGACTGGCACCGGACAAGTTAGCTTTCGATGAAGTATCAGTTAGCTGCAGCCTACGTGAATCGACTAGCAGTTCGTAGTGCCGTAGGAAAACAATACCGAGTATGGCTGTGGGAACGTCGGCAATGATGAATGTCCACAGATACCGTTGTCGGTTACCCAGGTTGACCGTGAGTTGTCGTGTACCATAGGTAGGAATGGCTGATCCATTCGCAGCTCGTAGTCGAAGCGTCGTAGCTTGTGATTTACTGTTACCAAGTAGCACGACAGAAACTTGAGCACCATTATCTGCTAGGTACCTAGCGTTCGAGTGATAATCGTGCACATAAAATAATCGACCAGCCTAGGGTGAAGGGTAGGGGACTACGGCCGCTTTTACTCGCCGGATTGGGAGTTTTCAGCCTTGTATGGGCACGGGGCTCGAAAACAGTGGGCACCGGACCCTAAGGAGAGTTGAAACCAACACCGAAACCCACTCTCTTCCGAATCCGCCTTTCGGCGTGACTTGGAAGATGCCCTCGTTGGGCGAGTGGTTGCAGCTTTTCGAGAGCGCGATCTGACTCGAGAGACGTAGGGTTCGGGTATGTTGCAGCGGTCTGGAAAGCTTAGACGTGTATGAATACAACCGTCTCTTTCACCTTGAGCTGGGAAGTGACTAGCGTCCATATTCACGTTCGAACGTGACGTTGAGGCAACTATGTAGTTGTCTCGATTGACAGTCCTTGCCAATATTTTGTCTGCCATGAGAGCCACTTGGTTGAGTGGTGCGTCCTCGAACAGAGCTGTGATCGTTGGTTGGATGTGTGCTGGTAACGATTCGAGAAGCCATTCCTTAACAATTTCGGAATCAGCTGCCGTAGGTCCTGCAAGAGACTGCAGGCGCGTGAGGTGGTGGCTCGGCTATCATCATCCAGAGGGTGACGTGCTAATAACGTCCTCAACCATTCCTCCCTCGATAAGAGGGAATGTCTGAGGATCATCTTTTTAAGACGATCATAGACGTTAGGCACATTGGAGTTGAGGACGACCCCACGGACAGTGACTACGTGATCCCCTGGTAAAGATTCCAGAGCGTAGGCATGTTTTTGCCGTTGGCTCGTAATGCGATGGGTCTAAAACTGAGACTCCGATGCAGCAAATCAAACTTCTGGGTCGTGAGGGACAAAAGATACAGGTTGACAATGGATAACCTGTACGTCAGAGTCTGTTATATTAATACTATTCTTATCGTTATCCGTCATGTCAAGTTGTTGCCAGTATATTATATATTGAAAAATATCAATATGAAAATATGCAACAGACGTGGATAGATAAGTAACAGACTCACCGCAATTGGCTTCTTTGGAAGATTTGGACTCGATTGAAAAGTGTTGGTATTATTGGGTTCACCAATTGTAGCATGGTGTCGAGTCGCGGTTGACTGTGATCACCACTACAAGGTTATGTACCAGATATCAGAAGGCAATTGGAGGTTGTAGCGAGGTATATTTGTTTGTGATCTCGTGCTATCTAAACAATACCGAGATCGTGCCAAAGGAGTACAAGCGGACTCACTGAGCAAACGTAAGTCCGTGCAAGGTCACAATCAACGGAAAGAAGAATGGAAGAATAATGAATGTATTTATTACACTCAAACAAACAAGTACAGTGAAAACATCACTGGTACAACTGAATATAATAAAAATTGTTTCCATTAAACCAATCGCGTTCTCTTGATAAAAATTAGTCACTACAAATGCAATATTTATACATCTTCAAGCTTTTTTAATACACCACTCCCTTACAAAGAATTACTGGTTCCCGGATAATTCTTAATATTGTTTTAATCTTGGTGATAAATGGTACTGTCAAAAGATTTTTTAAGCTACATCAATTCAAACAATTTAATATTATAACTCTGTTCTATCCTTGTAACATTCCCATTATTATTCACTTGATCATGCTTATAAATTTGTATAAATTTTATAAATAATTACAAAATATTAGTTATTGAATACAGAAGAAAATATGGACAGAAATTAATAAATAAGACAAGTAAATGATGACACTGACACTTGTTTATGAAATGAGTATGTTTATTGACTCTTTGTAATCAAGAATAATAAGTGATGAACGATAAGGATAACAATAACTGCATGAAAAGCTAGCGGAAAATCGTTCTAATGATTATTACTATTTTCAACATTCAAATCAGGAACCGATCTTAATTGGGGTCACCACTGTATATCTAGAAGGACTGCAATACCGTTTCGTCATCATACGTGACTCTTCAACAGTGTACATCTATAATTCCACATACTGGAATCAAACCCAGCATCTTCGATCTCAACAAGTCCTCTATATTAGTACTCCTACTACCACTAATAATAATAATAATAATAATAATAGTAATAATAATAATCGTGTGCTCAGTGGCAACTAGGTTCAAGATTTCTCTGGAAGTTTTAATGAGAAGTTGGGATTTGTAGAGTTCAATCCATGTCGAATGAGAAACAGTCATCCAATGAAGGCAATGGACAAAGAGTTGTGCAAGATCGTGGATTGATTTTAACTGAATATTAGCACCGTGGGATACCAGCTCAGTAGTCTTGATGTGAGGCGATCGGGGACGGGATCGAAGATCCAGGGTTCGGTCCTCCTGTTCAGAGTCGGGTGTGTGCATTTCTGAGGAGTCTCGTAACAGGACAAAACTCCCAGGCTTTCACCAATGGTCTGCTTATGATCAGTCTGTGACTTCCCTAATGGAAATATTAAAAATTCCACAAACCCTGCATGCTAATTATAATTGTTGTAATCACGACTGATTATTATTATTTCTTTTAATGGTCTGTCGTGATGAATGAATCCCCAAAATAAATAGTTCTGCAAGTATTCAACATTGATGTTGACCTCTTAACTTTCACTGGACAAACCTTAGCTAAAAGAGCTCGGTCATTCATTCAAACCAGAACACGAGTATGTGCGCCATGCTACGCATCCCTTGCAATTGTGAGCCAGCTTAAATCAAACGCTTCTAGACATATCAATAGCTTTCCAATTATACCTTCCAACCCCCTTCATTTCTGACTTCTGATTTTACTGGATTGGCATACTTTGATTCTAAAGGTGTTACGTGTGAAGGCGTTGTCAAACTCCGAATACCCGTTGCATCTTTACAACTATGTTTTCTGGTTGCTAAGACTAAGGACTGCATTTGACCAGTCTATACTGGAATATGTTGATACAGAGCAAAGTTACTTTTAGTGAAAATGCACCATGGATAGCAGTATAATCCAGAATTGGCGCTATCTTATTTAGGAATTTTTAATTTAATTTACTTGCATCCAAGTGTTGATTCTCACTCCGCCGCTCGAACACAGTACTAGTGGCTTCATATCTCAACGTCTTACGCATTGATCTACTCAGTTCATATAGTCAATTACATGTTTGATAGCCATTGTATTTTTACTGCTAACAGTGTGGTGTGCACTACTTATACAGACAGACGAACGTAGTATGTAGCAAGAGTTAGAAGTAGAATACCTACCAGAAGATCAATGAAGTAAAGAGAAGAGGAAGGAAAACGAAGAACAGTCACAATAACAACAGGATCAAGCAATAGCTTGAGTTTCCCTATTGTTACTATTCAGCATTACATTTTCATCAATTGTGTAATAACTATATTTTATATGCTTATGAATTTTTAACTTGATTCTTAAATAATGCATGTTTTAGTTTTGTGCATGCTGATCGGACTACTAGTGATATTCTATCTAATTTACACTGTTCCCCTTATTAGAGTATTCGCTCTAGAACTTCTTTGTCATATAATATACACTGTCCAACGAAAAGTGTGGATCATCAGTTCGTAGGGTTATTGAACATTGCGATGTACTCTCCTCACATAAGTGCTTAATGAAGTAAAATCAACGGCTGTATCTCATAAGCCACTAAAGTTCCTTGAGATTCGTAAATTCTGTACATATATGTCGACATTTACTTCAGTGCTTTTCCATGCCACATCACATTACTATGTATACTGTATCTTTTCTAATACTACATCTGCAAACAATAAAATATTTGTGAACAGTTGTATGTGTATGATGTATGTGTATAATTTGTCGATTTGATCAGTAGGGTTGCTCGTTCTTTGTTTTAATAGTCAGGTGATAACGTACTTATAATTTACTGGATCTATAAAAGACATTCAAGGAACTTGCATAGTCAAATGTCTTAAAAATTCAAATATTAGGATGTTCAGTAGACCAAGTGTACATAGATTGGCCTTTATCATCATTACTGAGACTAATGTTAATAGATAGTGTGATATACCTTATTATTTCATTCTCTTTATCTACACCATAATTTCTGTCTTGTTCTTCACGTTTCGCATTAAGGAAATAAGTAAGTGTTATATTCGTTATCTTTATTATCGATGGCTGAGGACATATGAATTAAGTAGGAATTTGGATACAAATGTCCAGTAATTGAGTTCATTAGTATATAGAGTATTATTGAACAATTGAAGCATAATTAGACTGGGTGAACAAAACTGAACTGGAATAGTAGTAGTTTTGGATTAACATCGAAATTGAACCTCTTAATAGTTGGACTTGATTCATATTGGTACAGGCAATTAGAATCACCAGTGACTGTATTAGAATTCAACTAACATTGGCAATAGGATATCCAGAAATCTCATTGTAGTGAAATAAATTCAAGACTGTATTACACCGGTCTAATCTGTATTGTAGTTAAATGAATACAAACTGTCAAGTGTGTC